CAGGACCGGACGACAAATCTCACCACCTGGAACTGGGGAACCTATCACTATCGCCTTGCCCCCATTGATTGGGGAGAAGCCCTTTCTCCATGTTTGAATAGCCATCATTCCAGCCTCAGAGGGAGAGAAGAGCCGCCAGGCACAGTTCTATGTTGCCTTGCCCCCAGCGGCTGGGGAGAAGCCCTTTCTTCATGTTTGAATAACCATCACTCCAGCCTCAGAGGGAGAGAAGAGCCGCCAGGCACAGTTCTATGTTGCTTTGCCGCCAGCGGCTGGGGAGAAGCCCTTTCTCCATGTTTGAACAAGCATCACTCCAGCCTCAGAGGGAGAGAAGTGCAGCCAGGCACAGCTGTATCATGCACTGACATAGCAGCTGGTGAGAGGCCCTTTCTCCCTGTTTGAACGACCATCCCTCCAGCTTCAGGGGGAGAAAAAAACAGGAGATTCTGGCCTCTGAAGGAGAAACGAGGAACCAGCATCTGCTAGAGAAAAGGCAGGATACAAATGAACAAATTACTAATAATGGCTGAGATCCCACATAGGATAAATAGCTATGCTCTGTCCCTCAATCTGACCACCCTCAAACCCACCATAAAAGTCAGGTAGCCATTCTAAGCGGAGTGCTGTGACACTAGGGAGCAGGAGGCTGACGGATGACATGTCTACCACCAGTGAGCTATGGGATCCCGTTGCAACTCCATGCCACACTGTGTTGCATCATCCGTCAGTATCCTGCTTGTCAGCACCACAGAGCTCCTCTGCTTGGTATGGCTGCCTAGCTTTTAGGGGCATTTGCAGTCATGGCAATTGTGCCACAACAGTTGTGTGTCTGTTCAAGTCATTTCTGACTTATGACGACCCTATCACAGGGTTTTCTTGGCAAGATTTCTTCAGAGGAGTTCACCCTTGCCTTCTCCTGAGGCTGAGAGTGTGTGACTTGTCCAAGGTCACTCAGTGGGTTCCATGACCATGCAGGGAATCAAACCCTGGCCTCCAGAGTCGCAGTTCAGCACTCAAACCACTATGCCACACTGGCTCGCCACAACAGTCATGAGGTTGTCAATCTAGCCCAACACATTGCTAACTGCCTAAAAAGATGGCAGCTAATGATGATGGTGATGATGATTATCATGTTGCTGGTGTGTTACCATGCAATCCTATATACTTTGGGTGGGAACTGTGTGGCCTTGTAGATGTTGGACTGCAGCACTCAGACTATCCTGGCAAGGGCTGCTGGGAGTTATAGTCCAACATCTGGATGGCCACACATACCCACCCCTCCTGTACATATTTAAATATGAACCCCAATGGGTGGAAGATGGCTCATGAAGAAAGGGGTGAAGGGCAGATAGGAAACCCAAAGGCTGGATCACTGCCACAATGCTGGGATTTGAACTCTGCACAATATAACAGAAGCCACAGATTTCTTTGAGAAATGAATCATGCCAGGCAGGTGATTTTGCTGCCTCCAATCATGTCTTTTCCCCAAAACACATATTTACAAGACACTAGTAGGAGGTGATATGTTTTATATATTTGTGATTCCCCTCAGGATTCTACAAACATACCCAAGGGGGCTTACAACATAATAAAAGAATTAAAACATTTTTTTTAAAAAAAAACTGTCAGAACAGTCTAATCAAAATCACAATTAAAAGAAACAAACTAACTTCAAGAATGAGGAAAAACTACCTAAAATGTTCACTGAACAGACATACAACTTAGCAGGTGGCAACAGCGGAGTTGCAATGTTATTTAACCTCCCTTTGGCAGGGCAAATTATATAATGTGTTGGTGTCACCACACATAAGTCTCTATGGTATCCAGCTGCTGCACTGTAGTATCTCAGAAGATGATCTGAAGGGTTGGCAGATGGGCTTCTTATGAAAATCTAGTGGTTCGGGGCTTATAAAGGAAAAATCCACTTGGAATGGAGCCTCTGACCCAATGGAAGTGATAGAGAACTGCAATTATATTCTTCCCTTCCGTCCTCTCACGCCAGTCAGTAACATGGAAGTCTTGGACTAAAGCAGTGGTCTTCAAAATATGGGATGGGACCCACAAGAGGGAGAGATGCTCAGGGGCTCTTCTTCCCAAAAGTTTTGTCCTGGAGGAAAGGAATAAGCGAGGAGGGTGTCTGGAGCCTCTGCCTGAGCGAGAAGGAGGAAAGCTTTTTCCTGATGTTAAAAGATGAACATACACAAATGTGTGAACTAAAATAAGCAACCTAAACAAACAAAACATTTTAATCCAAATACTACATATATAAATGGAGAGGGGGGAGTCTGGATATAGATATAAAGGGGTTTACAATGGTAAAAAAAAATCGGAGAACCATAGGACTAAAGAATAGCTTTCAGACTGATCCTATGTAGACTGTACTACAAAAACATATCCTGGGAGGGACTGTAGCTTGAAGCGATAGAGACCAGCTATAGTTGCTCACTGGAAGACGAAGCTGATACAATAGAGACAAAACTACTATAACAGGCTCCTAGACACCAATAGTATCTCCTCCTCTGGGAGTAAGGCTGTATCAGGTACAGGCTGCATACAGGTGTACAGAGGAGTGAGGGTCTCACTGAAAAAATGCTGGCTACCTAGATGTAGTGCTGGAGGTCTCACCAGTAGTACATCTAGATTCTGTGGAATGTCAATGTGTTTACCTGCTGAAAATTGTTCTACAATCCTTGCACACCTATGATTCCTTCTCTGTGGGTTTTTCGACGTCTACTGAAGATTCACCTTTGACTGGAGAACTTTCTACATTTGCACTGATGGATTCATTTGGCTTTTCCACACGGTGGGTTCTTTCATGTTTACGGAGACTTGTGCTCACACCAAAGCTCTTTCCACACTGCAGGCACTTATACGGTTTGATTCTTGTGTGAGTTCTTTGATGATTGCTAAGGTGTGCTCTGTGGCCAAAGCTCTTTCCACACTCTGGACATTTATATGGCTTCTCCCCAGTGTGAGTTCTTTGATGTGAAGTAAGGTTCGTTTTGTGGCTAAACCACTTGCCACACTCCAGACACTTAAATGGTTTCTCCCCTGTGTGAATTCTTTGGTGCGAGGTGAGATTGGTACTCATACTGAAGCTTTTCCCACATTCCAGGCATTTATAGGGTTTCTCTCCAGTGTGAATGCGCTGGTGTGATGTTAGAGATTTTTTACTGCTCAAGCTTTTCCCACACTCTAGGCACTGATATGGTTTGGCCCCTGTGTGGATGGCTTGATGTGAAGTAAGGCTGGTGCTCTCACAAAATCCCTTTCCACACTCTAAACATTTATAAGGTTTCTCCCCGGTGTGAAGTCGCTGATGTAAAGTAAGGGCGTTAGCCCAACAGAAGCTCTCTCCACACTCCAAACATTTGAATGGTTTCTCTCCAGTGTGGATTCTTTGATGATAACTGAGGTATTTGCTTGTAGTGAAATTCTTTCCACACACCAAACATTTATAGGGTTTTTCTCCTGTGTGAAGTCGCTGATGGTCAGTGAGACTCACAATATGACCAAATCTTTTCCCACACACTGCACACTGGTATGGCTTTTCCCCTGTGTGGATTCTTTGATGGTAAGTGAGATTCGTCTTCTGGTGGAAGCTCTTGCCACACTCCAAGCATTTATGTGGTTTCTCTCCAGTATGGGTTCTTTGATGACAAGTGAGATTTGTCTTCTGACTGAAGCACTTTCCACACTCCAAACATTTAAAGGGTTTCTCCCCTGTGTGAGTTCTTTGATGGACACTGAGGGCTTTGCTAGTACGGAAGCCCTTGCCACACTCGGAACATTTAAATGGTTTCTCATCTGTATGGATTCGTTGATGGAAGCGGAGGTTTCTGCTAGTACGGAAGCACTTCCCACAGATGGGGCATTTATATGGTTTCTCACCCGTGTGGATTCTTTGATGTGAAGTCAGGCTGGGGCGCTCACGGAAGCTCTTTCCACATTCCAAGCAGGTAAATGGTTTTGCTACTGTGTGAATAATTTGAACATACAGTTAAGTCACCCAGCTCAACACAAGTTATTTTCATACTCCCAACTGTTTACACTCCTCAAAAATTAGCTATTTTTTTATTTCTGAGGCTCCTACACTGAGAACATTTAAAAATGTCATCTGCATTTCTCTTACGCCAATCTAAACTGAGGTTTTTCCACTCAACACACTGCTTCCCTCCTCCTTTTTAATAAGACTAGGATTTGATAAATGTTACCACCCTGAGAGGGAAAGGAGTTGTTCTTCCATACTCAATTTTCTTGTGTTTTTTTTTATGCTATATTCTTTCCCCTTATGAGATCTGGCTGTGTCCAATACTGCCCTATCTGAGACTCCTTCATACTTACATACTTCATACTTCTCTAGAGAGAAGAGAGATTGCTGGCAAATTGTCCAAGAGAGCAGAAAACCTGATATTAGTTGTTGCAAATGACAAAATGAAAACAAAAGGATAGGAGAGCATTTTGATAATACAAAAATAAAAGGCTCTTAACTGAATCAACACTGTGTAGTATAGTCAGCCCACCATATCCATGGTTTCTGAATCCATAGATTCAACCATCCATGGCTTGAAAATATTTTTTAAAAATTCCAAGAATTAAACCCCAATTTTGTTATTTTTTTTATAAGGGATGCCACTGTACATAATGAGACTTGAGCATCCATGGATTTTAGTGTCAATGCGGGGAGGTCCTGGAACAAAACACTAATGGATACCAAGGGTCCACAGTATTAGATAGAAATCAACTCCCATTATGGTTTTTGGATCAGAGCTTGGAAAACACTGACTGAAAGAGAGTTGTACAGTGGGCCCTTGGTATCTGCTGAGGTTTTGTTTCACAACCCCCCATGGATACCAAGAAGTCCCATTATATATAATAGTGTAGTAAAATGGTATTCCTTACATAAAATGCCAAATCAAGGTTTGTTTCTTGGAATTTATATGTTTTTGAATATTTTCTGGCTGTGGATGATTGAATTTGTGGATAAGGAAGGCCAACTTTGGTCCAAAAAAAGTAATGTTTCCAAGCTAGGCTTTGGCAGTCTTCAAGTTCTTAATAATAATAATAATAATAATAATAATAATAATAATAATAATAATAATAATAATAAAAAATAATTCTAACCCGCCCCTCTGCTTCAGCAACCGGGGCAGCATACAACAGATTAAAACTGAAACAAAGTACCGTAAAATATTCTGTCAACCAATCCCTAACCCTCACTCCTCTTAAAACTAAATTAAACTAGTGCAGAGTTAAAATGACACATCTCCACATCTTCTCTCAATAGACTGTTGTGCATTTACATTAACCCCACACATGTTACCCTGAACACAGAAGAATCAAACACATAAGGAGGGGACCTTCATTCTGTGTCATGGACCCATTAGACCTCAAGATTTGGGTAGAACAATTAGGAAAGCAGTGGCTGGCTGGCAGCTTTCATGAAAGGCTGAATCTGCCTCTGGTTTGGAGCTATCCGAGGTGTTGAAGCTATCAACGTAGGGTTTGTTTATCTATTGTGCTGAACCAATTTGTGGATAGAATTCAGAACCTTGGATAGCTCCTTCAAAGTCTAAGATAGCCCTCCACATTTGCAGCTTTGACTTTTGTGGATTTGATTATTTGCAGATTTGATTAACATGTTAATTCTAGGAATCGCTAGGTCCTCCAGACAAATTCTGCGGGAAGTTGACCACAGAGTCGCGTTGGAGGACCTAAAGATTCCTAGAGAAAACATTTCTTTTTTACTTCTACAACAGCATGCTTATTATCACAATATTTGAACAGTTTCAAGGGGAATACAGTTGGTCCTCCACATTTGCAGATTTGTTTATGTGCGGTTTTGATTAATATGTTCTCTCTAGGAATCTCTAGGTCAGCGATTCCCAACCTGTGCTCCATGGAGCCCTTAGAGCTCCGTGAGTCAAAAAGGTTGGGAACTCCTGCTCTAGGACATCTAATGCCAACTCTGCAAGAAGTTGACCACAGAGTTGTGCTCAAGAACCTAGACCAGGGACCGGCAACCTTTTTCAGACC